ACTCGAAATGAACGCTTGTAATAAGGTATGATTTTGCTAAATTAATGATTAGTACTTTATTTTATATTTTTCTTGATTTTTTTGTTAATAATGTACATTAATTTATGTTCATTTGTTTTCTTTCTCCATCACAAAGTACCAACTTCCCCCATTTTAACAGATAATGTTTCAAAAAAAATTCTGGGGCAGCGGACCCCCCTACTTCGACGGGCTGGCTCCGCCCCCTGCCTGGGTGGAGATATATAGTTCTAGAAATTATGAGTTGCAAAGAATACAATGGAGCCAAACTCACATTTCTTTTAAGAATGGGTGCTTGTAAAAGGCATCGGGAATCCTTCCTGAAAATTGATTGTGATACAAATACCTGAAACATCGAAACAGTTTCAGAAACAGGAAAAACTTCAACTTGTACATTTGAGCAAACTGTTAGCATCCCATAATACTGATTCTAGAGGTCTAATGGTATTCCTTAGTGGTAACATGTTTAGTAAAGTAGAATAGACGGTTCTAGACAATATAACAAGAGAAAAATAAGTTCATATCTTGTCAAGTGTAACAAACGGTCAAGCAACTTACAACACAGCTCTTGGCGCTTCCTAGTTTTGTAAAAGACCGTAGAAGGAGCTAACAAAGTTCAGAAACAAAGAACCCAAGATTTGGTCTAACACAATTGCGTTCCCGCCTCAATTTTTACCGAAACTAATGGTACATAATTTCTGAACCCCTCAGAGTAACAAAAATTGAAATCGTATCGACAGCAACACATGCTAAAAGGGAACCTCATGTAGATTAAAAATGGCACATAGTTCGCTCCTTTGCATCTTCAAGTACAAAAGATTTGCCTCACGCTTTTACGATTTCACAGTAGTTCCAACAATTGCATATATTGTCATAAATCACAACCCTGAAGCTAAAAATGATATCAGTATATCAACTAGGATAAGAAAGATACCGTGAAAGCAAACTTACAGACCGTGAAAGCAAACTTACAGGTAAGTCAATCTAGGAATATAAGCAAGTCCAGATGGTACAATTCCAGACATTTTGTTGTAGGATAGATATCTGTGAAGAGCAGAAGCAATTAAATTCATAAATTAAATTATAAAAGGGTAACAGATCAAGCAACAAAGTAACAGCTCAACATTCCCTTTTATAAAAATACACAAACTTACAAGATCTCTAAGTTAGTCAAATTTACAAGCTACGCTGGAATGCCTTAGTCAAATTTGCAAGCTCCGCTGGAATGCCGCCACTAAAATAATTTTTATTAAGATACCTGAAATTAAAAATACAAAGAGGAAGTCTTATAATTAGTCCTTAATTACTCAAATGAGAACAAAAAGATCAAAAAGTGCATTAAAGTGAATTAGCATAAAAGTTACAAAGAGCCGGGAAGCATCCTTTAATACGTATTAGTTCCCTTATAGTCCCAACCAAATGATCGTTTCCGTCATCCCTTGGAACACATTCAACCAGCTAGCTAAACTCAAAAGGGAATCAGAGAACACACCCTACGAATTCGAGAGAGAATATTACAAGATCGCAGATTTTGCAAAGTTCCCAATTCAGGTGAAATTCTCCCTGTCAAATGATTTTCTTGAAGTTGGAAATAACCGAGTACAGGAAGATTTGCAAGCTTCTTCGAGAGTTCACCTTTGAAATTATTGAAGCTCGTGTAGCTGCAGAGGTTTCATGCAATATTGTTGAAGGCACTGAGTGATTTGATGTAAA